AAAATTAGGAATCGAAAACTACCTATTTCTCATACTTGACTGTTATTTTTTTTCCCTATTATGGTTATGTGAAGTTGTGGCTCTGTTTCTATTTTCTGCAGTTTGAAGCGTACATTCTTATTAGTAGATGCTAAAGAAGGAATTCAGGAAATGGACAACATTGCTGTAGAAATGTTAGAAGAATTTGGGATTCCTTATGTTGTAAGTCGCACCCCTTGCTATAAAACAGTGGTTTTCAACCTTTTTAATGCTGCGACCCCCAACCGATCGTAAGTCGAGGACTAAACCGGTCGTAAGTCGAGGACTAAACCGGTCGTAAGTCGAGAACTACCCAACCAGTCATAAGTCGAGGACTTTCCCTGCCCGGGAGCACCGCGCATGCGTGGTTCCGCCCCCTGCGCCGGCCGAGGCGTAGCTGGCAAGTGGCAGAGATGGAGCAGGCTGACCACCAGCTGGCCCAGCCCAAGGGAGGTAAGGCACCCGCCAGAAAAGGGGAAAAAAATGGCGGACAGCCTTGCTTGGCGACCCCCGTGAAATGGTCGATCGACCCCAAATGGGGTCGCGACCCATAGGTTGAGAACCGCTGCTATAAAACAATGAGTGTACAATATTAAGATTCTCTAAAAATCATATAACAGTAACTGGAAAGCATAAACACCATCTAGCCAGACCTATTGATTCTGTCTAAGACAATGTTTCTCCACCATAGCAATGTGTGCTGACTGGGAATTCTGAGAGTTGAAGTCCACACATCTTAAAGTTGTTAAGGTTTAGAAACATTGGTCTAGGATAATTTAAAAAGAAACTCATGAAAAAACGGAAGCAGCCAATTTTTTTAGGAATTATATTCCAGCTTAGTAAGAAATGTGCATGGAAACAATAAAATTATATTTGTAATTAAAATTCTGCTCTCACCAACTGGGGTTTTAAAATTGTACTAAAATGTATGCAGTATTTTAACCATCATATTCATAGAAATTAATTTGGAAGTATAATAGCAAAATGAATACATTTCCTTCCATCTTAAAATAAGTTGTTCAATCTTGACATAAACTCTTTTGCTCCAACATAATCTATTCTAAATAGAAGATAGCATTACCTGTCAAGAAATAAAATTTTTAAGCACTAAATTTGAATACCTCTACCTATATTATGTACTTCCTTTATCACTGACTTGTGGACTTCATTCCTTAAGAAGTATATAGTGGATATAAAAAGTCTACACCCCTGTTCAGTTTGTTTTTCAGTTGAATTGTACATATTATCAGTTATATTAAAAATGGGAAAAATGGGAAATGGGTTTATCTTGGTCTGATTTTTTTACATCTCAAAAACCTGGCATCATAAGGGTGTGTAGACTGTTTATATCTCTTGTAAGTGCATAGAATTTGACCCAAGATTAGTTCTATTTAACCTCACTATCATAACTTGTTCTAGTTCTTTCAGCAGGATTTAAATACAGCTATTGTAATTCAGTCTATATCCAACCATGGTAGTTGATTGTTTGACCCACACAGATTGCTCAGTTAGGCCGTGTATTTTTTTTTAGGTAGAGATAAAACCTGTTGGTGAAATTTAGATTAAAAAAACATATCTTAAAGTAGAAAAAGTTGGAAAAGGAAAGGCCAGGATCTCATTCTTTTAAAGAACAGCCTGTGAGTATCCCTAATCTAATTCATTGCTAAACTCAAAAATAATTTAAGGTTTCAAAAACTTGTTTTAAGCTATTTTTGGTGGGTATGTTTTTGTCTTTTGGCAGCTTGTATTAACCAAAATTGACAAAGCATCAAAATCAGCGATGGCAAAAAACGTTATACAGATTCAGGACTTTGTACAGAAAAATGCTTACACATGTTTTCCTCAACTTTTTCCTATCAGGTAACAGCTAACAACAGGGGTGTCAAACTCAATTTCATTGAGGGCCGCATCAGCATTGCGGTTGCCCTCAGGGGGCCGGGTGGGTGTGGACAGGGTGGGTGCGGCCTACTGGGTGGGCGTGCATTGAGTGGTGTGGTCTACTGGGTGGGCGTGGCCAGCTCTACATCATTCACGAGTGGGACAGATCTGAGGGTCTCTTGCAGAAGTAGGCGAGGGCCATTTGCTGGCCACTTCCAGGCGATGGTGCATTTCTTCATTCCTCACAAAGGGTGACATCTCCCCAGCATGCCCCAGGGGGTGAGACCGACACGGCAGGGGCTGGTTCCTTGCTGTTTCCAGACAGCCTTGTGGAGCTAGGACTGAATGTGTTTCAGCATAGATGGCCACCACAAAATTGTACATTGGCTCCCGGCTGGCCTGGGCCAGGACCAAGGCAGTGGGGGCCATTCCCTCACTGTTTCCAGGATGGCTTCGCGAGCCACATGAAACCACTTCGCGGGCCACATCCGGCCTCCGGGCCTTGTGTTTGACATGTCTGGCTAACAACGTCATGTTGTTTTTTTGGAATAATATGAAGTAGTTTGTCATTGCCTTGTATCAAAGTATGAGTTTCAGTTGCTATTTGCTACCAATCTAATCTACAACCTGCCTTATCTTGGTTTTCCATCCCAATACTTAGCAAAGCTGACTGCTCAGGACCATGAGATCAGCCAAGGTTGACTAGGTGTTTCCATTTAGCTGAATCTAAACTCTAAAAAATAGTTGTTCCCTCAAGCAAAGGCAGCAAGAGCAAGAATAGTGAACTAATGCAAAGTAATTTATTTTTATGAGACTACTAATACAATATTTCTATCTTTGTTTCCATAGTTCTTTGAATTATACTGGAATCCATGTATTAAGATGTTTCATAGCTCATGTTACTGGAAATCTTCCATTATCCACTGAATAAAGCATTATACTTGGAAGCATCTTGCTTCAAACGTCATGCTACATGCTGTATAAATATAAATTATTTTGGAACAATACTATGTAAACTCAGTATTTTTACATAAGCACATAGTGTACATACATACATGTATATACATACACATTTGCATTGATTAAATGTGAATTTCAAAGATTAAATGTTATGCTTAGAAGTAGGAAAAGAAAGATCAAGTAAATCAAAGTATGAGAAATGGAAGACCCTTGAGTCTTTTTAGCTTTGAAAGTTGAAAGATAGGACAAGCAGGTCCTGAATGGATACCTGAATGGATAACATACAATACCTCAAAACCTTCTTTCTTTCAACACAGAGCGCACATCTCAGAATAAAGAATTTAAGCTAAAGAAGACAATTTCCAACAGAAGATTAAAAATACATTCAATAATAGTTTGACAGTGGAATCAGTTACAAATGATGTAATGAGCCCTATTTGTTAGATACTGTATGTTAAGATAAAGATTGAACTGCCATCATTGGGATGCTTTTAATTTGAAGTAGAATGAGTACAAGGCTGCTTGTAATGGTCTAAGCAGCCCTTTTCAGTTCTGTAATTCTATAATTGGGGTATTCTACAGATTATTTAGATGTGCAAGGGTTGCTTTTGCAAAAACAAACCTATCTTAGTCTATTTGGACATGGGGTGGAAAAATAAGAGAATAATTTGCTTGTTTATTTTGTACAGCAAAAGAACATAAATATTTGTACTGAATTATTTTTTAAAATAAATGTATATATTTATGTGGAAACAAAAGACCCAGCACAATTCTACTGCATGCAATGTGGACTTTCTTATACAGTCAAAAGCATTATTTCCTAAAGTGGTCAGCTTGTTGATAAGATTACTCATATCTGACTACCTCAAATGCACAACTTCTCTAATTAGCTTGGTAATTCCATCAGAGGCATATGATAGGGCTAAAGCATCCAGGTGGCTGATGTTTCTTAGTCCTCAGTTCTAAGTACTTTACTCTGCTTAAAACTATATTATTTTCAACTCTACTATTAATTATCAACAGCAAATGTATTTTAGCAGTCATTTCCTGATTGGTGTCATTTTAACTTCCAATCCTCTTTTCCCTATCAGGTAAGCAGCCTACTCTTTTTGTTTCTTGGAATTAAGACCAAATGCAATAGGTAAATGATTTAATAATGGCAGGATTTTTCAGAAGTCCAGTTTGTGGGCTCAACATGAGCAATACAGAAGTAATTCATGTTTACATTCATATACCTCTATTCATATAGAGGTAATATGCATTACCCTGCATACATCCACACATATACTCACAATATTAATTCTACGGTATGTTGCATCTTAATGCATGCTCTGATATGTTAATTTCATAAACTCAAAATAATTGGAAATGGAATATCAGGGAGGAGATAAGTATTCCCTGAATATGTTAATATTAGAAGATAAAACCATAAAGGATGTTTATCCTAATAAAGGATAATAATAAGCTTTGATGCAAGTCTATAGCTTTTGATTTTTTAAGCTTCTGCTTCTACTTTGGCAAAAGGCAGAAAATGGCAAATAAGAAAATGTGGCTGTGTTTACATAACACATTAAGCCAAATTTCTTCTGATTTATGTAGGATTATTACATGAACTCAGTTTTGATGTATACACCATTCCATTATTAAGCCAAACATAGCGTTGTATTTATGAAACTAGCACAATGGAAAGTGGTACCTTGGAGAAATCAAAACAGCAAACCTGACTTAATTTATCACTTATTGTTTAATATTTCAAAGCTACTTTTCTCTTTGTACCTAAACATTAAGGCTATAAATCAGGGCTGGAAAGATCCAGATGATTATAAGAAGGCAGGCAGCCCCGAGTGCGCGTTTTCTGTATCTGTTGGCCGCTCTACCGCGTCCGTGCGTGCAGATGTTTCCAACCAGATGTGAAAGCCCCTGGAGAATACTTTCGAGTGCTGGCCATTCTAAACATTGCGCATGCGTGACTTGTCCAATGAAGCTGGCGGAAGAGGAACCGAAGGCCTATTATATTCATTTGCTCAAAGGCGCATGCGCAGTTGAACGTTAGCCTTCCGGATTGAAGCGGGGGGGGGGAAGAGTTGCTAGTCAGAAGCGGTCTTTGATTTTGTAACTGGAAAGAGGTAATTCCTGATGCTAGCATGGCCGACGAGGAAGAGGACCCACCTGTAAGTGAAGCCGAAGTATAAGGTGTTGAGTAGCCTAAAAGGTGTAAACCGTGATTAAGGGCCAACTGGGATGCTGGCCGGAGTGGCAGCTGCTGGCTTGGGAAAAAGAAAGTGGCGCCTCCCGCCTCCCCTAAATTCCCCGGTGATGCTGGAGTCTGTCGCACCCATCGGTTGGAGAAGCCTGAATCCAGGGTTTATTGGGTATTATTCGCATTAAAAGCTAGATCCTGTTCGTTGATGACAGCGCATCACTTTGAAAAATGAGCAGGGAAAACCTGTAATAAGATGCCGTAAAACAATTCACTTGAAATAAGTCCAAATGAAATGTTTTATTCACTGGATTTCGGAATGTAAGATTCCAATCTAGATTCATTTTATGCAAACAAAACTGGCAATTAAGATTCCCTGGGCATTATGAGATTTACAGGTAGATAAACTTGAATTTGGTTTTACATTTTCTGATGTAATTCTTCTGTGAATACAAGGCAATTCCCAGTAATCTCATAGATCATAGAATCATATGACTGGAAAGGAACTTGGAGGTCTTCTAGTCCAGCCCTCTGCTCAAGGCAGAAGTCCTGTAACATCCCAGTTAAACGGTTGTTAAGGAAGTTTATTGTGGAATTAACGTGTACTAGGTGTGGGCCAGCAATGTATGCCATAGAAATCCTTAGATTCTTCCTTCTATTATTATTTTTGTACTTTGCATTACATCTGCTTAGCATTTCCTTCATTACTAACCATGGGCTATGCTGGCTATAATTGTTGGAAATTATAATCCAGAACATCTGAGAAGAATCACATTTCATAGTGGCATGATGCTTTGCAAACTAATATCAGACATACAATCTCCCTCATTCAAGATGCATACACAATAAGATTTGTTCCACAGGACCGCCCTTTGGTTTGGTACAGCTGTATGTGTTTGATTATGGACATTTTTTTTATTCTCATAGATTCATGGCATATAAATGAGGTTGTAAATTTAAACCTTGATTCAAATTAGTTGGTGAAGGGCAAAAATACTATAAATAAAGCTTGTTTTGCTTATAGATTTTGCAAAAAATATTTTTTTAAAATTATATTTTCTCTTTCCCCACCATTCACTTGGAGCGTTAGATATTTTGGATGTCTATGACAAACTCACAACATTTAAGAAAATGGAACACAATCCCCACCTCACTGGTTTTTAGCAACCTGCTTCTGCTATATGAGGTTTCCTATATATATAGTCAGCATATTTAATAGCTGTTTAGAAACTACTATTTTTTCTAATTAGTTTTAGAGTAGCTCAAACAGATCAGTATCTTTACATGCTGAAATATATTAGAGTAAACATCTGTATTCAAAGTGGAACAAATTATTTGGAATATGGGCAGTTATGTTGCATCTTTTATTATTGGTATTTTGTCAAATCATATGCATCTTTTCTTGGAGTTGCACAGCAAGATGCAGCTTAAGGAGTTGTCAATATGTGCAACACAAGTACCAACACAGGCTAAGAATCACCTTTTCTCCTTTCATTCCAAATTGCTGCAGAGTCCTGTGCTAAGAATTATGAGTACATAGAGTTGTCCCTATCCATTTTTCCATAGTATTCTGTTTTTGCTCAAAGTGCCTTTTTTCTTAGTTATCATAGCTTTCTCTGAAATGAGTTACTCCAGTCTGGTTATCAAATAGTCAAGCTATTTTCCAAGGTGCCTGAAGGCAGGACAAGAAGCAACGGATGGAAAGTAATCAAGGAGAGAAGCAACCTAGAACTAAGGAGAAACTTCCTGACAGTTAGAACAATTAACCAGTGGAACAACCTGCCTCCAGAAGCGGTGAATGCTCCAACACTGGAAGTTTTTAAGAAGAGACTGGACAGCCACTTGTCTGAAATGGTATAGGGTTTCCTGCCTGAGCAGGGGGTTGGACTAGATGACCTCCAAGGTCCCTTCCAACTAATAATAATAATAATAATAATAATAATAATAATAATAATAATAATAATAATAATAATAATAATAATAATAATAATAAATTTGGATTTCCCTTCTAGGATTTTAATATCATTTTTAATGTACTGTGGACAGAACTGTATAGTATTCATATATTTTCATAAAAGCATTATTGTACTCTGTTGATAAGTTTTATTTTAGATTCTTCAAATGTTATGTAGCATGGAATATGACTTTTTCAGTTGCCATACTTGATGTTTTTATGAACTTTGCTTGTAGCACCCTAAGGTTCTAGCTGAGATCAATGTGAAGGTTGATTTTTATGTCTGTAAGCATAATTTCATATTTGTTTACAGTAAACCTATTTTCATATTGTACTGTTTATTCCCCCAACTTCAAGAGATATTTTTAAAACCCTTTGCTGTCTCTCTGCTTTTAACCATCCTAATAAATTTAGACTCCTTGTTTCTTAGCTATGCCTCTTTTTTTTAATCCTAATTTTGGATTTATTATCTATAGTTTGAAGAAGATACTGAAGAAACAGGAGGAGGGCCAGATGGTGGACAGGGAAAAAGGAAGCGGTTGTTCTCCAAAGAATGTAAGTAGATGTCAGCCTACAAGTAAGAGTAAAGTAGATTATTTGTATGCTGAAGATACCAAAGAACTGCCATCTGTTAGTATAAGAAACAGAGATATTAGTTTTAATGACCTAATTTTTTATAAGGCAACTTTCTATGTTCTCACAGATAGTGAGGAAACTTAATCCTTTTGTAGCCTCCACTTTTGAAGAATCGGTTTATCTATGCGGTACACTTTTTGAATGCCAGTATTACTGTGAATTATTGAATGATTATGTCTACAATCTATATCCTATCAATCTGCATTACTAAGTAAAAAGAAATTGAGATGGTTAAGTATACTTAACATCCTTCACATTTGCTCATGTGTCATTTGATACAATTTGTAGCACAGCAAATGAAATATCCATTGAATAATGTTTCACATTTTATGAAGTCATGTAAGATGTCAGTGAGTTAGTGATAAACAACTGTGCATCAACTACTTGAAATACGGTACTTGATTTTTACTACAGTTCAATATATTTGTATTTTGGGAGGTTGCATTTGCTAATACTTCCATGACAATTCTAAGGTTGCGGTCTGCTTTTCAACCTACTTTTTTAACAGTAAGCCTCTCCACGCCTCTCATTGTAAAATATCATTTCTATGAAAAAATAGTGTTGTACTAAAGCTTATAATGTAAGTGGTATAATTTCCTGAACCATAAATTGGACTTTAGAACTTGTTGGCTAATTTATTCATTAAAGTGGCAGGGGCTTTTCTCAGAATGTTCCTCCTTCAACATGTTCTATTAAAATGATCTTTCAAATACTGATATTAAAGTTTCAGCATTGTTTTCCCTTACAAGTTTGAACTACGCTTTCCCCAGTATATTTATTTAAAAATACCATTACAATTTGCTTGATTGGAGAATTTAAAAGAATGTGAATAATTATATAGACCGTAAGTCTTCCAAGCTGCTGCATTCAGTGCCCTCCTGCAGATGATTTTTGCTTTAATTCCAGTGAGATGTATGATGTATGGATTTGGAGATGATCAGAATCCTTACACAGAGTCTGTGGATATTCTTGAGGATCTAGTCATAGAATTCATCACAGAAATGGTAGGTTCTTATAATATGTTAGTACTTATTAGACATTTGATGCAATAGATGCAATATTTAGGCTTTTGTTTCCTTGCAGCTCTATGTTTTATGTAAACTGAGTTGAGACACATATAAAAGCTATTATGATCCAGTAAACTTCCAGTAACCATACTTGATGTTTTACATTTTTACCCCCTCCCCCTTTTATTACTTTATAAGTAACTCAAAGCAGAAAATATGCCTAATACTACTACTTCCTCTTATTTTTCCCATAATAGTCTTATGAGGGGGGTTGGGTTGAGACTGACTGGCTGAAAGTCTCCCAGCTGGATTTCATTTCTAAGGAAAAACTAGAACTCAGTATCCTGTTTTCTGGACTAATACCTTAATCAGTGTATCAAACTGGTTCTCAGACTATTAATGAACCAAGTAGTGTGTAGTGATTATAGTGTTGGACTAAAAGCGGAAATATCCCAGTTTTAATCTTTCAGCAACAAAGTCAGTGGATAATCAGCTTCCAGTTTCTTTTTCATAAGCAAGTATGTTGTCTAAATACTGTGTGCAACTATGTAAGCATTGTAGAAAATGTCCTTGTTAATTTGATTTAATTGAAATGGGTTTTCTTTTTGCACAATAGACCCACAAAGCAATGTCAATTGGACGACAAGGTCGAGTACAGGTTGAAGATATTGTCTTCTTGATTCGTAAAGACCCACGAAAATTTGCTCGTGTGAAGGACTTGTTAACAATGAATGAAGAATTAAAACGGGCTCGAAAAGCATTTGATGAAGCGAACTATGGCTCTTGAGGCCTTTTCTGAGCTCATCTCATTTTTTTGATTCACCCTTTCTATAAAAGGAAGCTCTGTGAAAAATAATTCAGAACACTGCTGCCCATTGAAATATTTAAATTGTGGACTGTTTTAAGATATTCTTTGTTATGCTGCTTCTCTTTAAAATGCTAAAATATTCTTGGACATTATTCCCTATTATATCTTGAATTTTTTAGATTGCAACCATTTGAGTGTCATAATTCTAGGTTTATATTCTTATTTAACTCATTTTTTTCAAGTGTTACTAAAAATTTCTAAGGGCCATGTAGCTATTATCTTTTACCTCTGTCCTTCCTATCAAACTTAGATTTAAAAAATACGCTCATAAATCTCAATACTTCTAAATTGATCTTTTTCTCATGCTTCATTTAGTGTTGTAAAACTAAAAGATAACCTCTTTCACAGCAGAGTACAAATATTAGCAAGCAGGAACACAGCTTATTTTGACTGAGGTAATCTGACAGGATTAAATGAAAAGGATTAAAATGAAACTATAAATTTATGCATTATGTCAATGATAGGTGCTGAGCCATCAAGGTTGAGTCCATGTGGATAGGAACTTAACATAAGAAAATGCAAGAAAATGGACTTCTGGTGAACACTTATGGCAGATTAAATCTCTCTAAAAGAGTGGAGATAGCATTGCAGCAACCATGGTGGCCAGACAGTAAATTCCAGCGCAGTCTTTTCATAAAAAGGAGAGATTGTGTGCACCCAGTTATATTCTGGACAGCTATTCCTTGTGATTAAAATGCAGGAAATGAGGTTTTTGTGACCAGCTTGTGAGTTGAGCAGCTGGAAGTTAGCTACGTCCACAGCTGTAATGCAGTTCATATGGACAAAAGGTTTGCACAAGCCTAATTTCTTAAATGCTTTTGGATATAATTTATAGCTAAAAAGATTTTGTGAGTGATAGGATAAGAGAATTCCACTTGTTGCATCAACATTTTTCTGAATTAAAATGAAAAAAATCAAAGATTTAAAAACTTTTGGCAAAAACCTTAACAAAGAGTGGCTATAAGAAAGTTTAAAACAGATTAAACGTTTTAAAGCTTTAAAAGCTTTTTCAGTGAAAGTGCTTTTGAAAAAACTTTGGAATTAAAATAGAAAAATAAGCTGGACCTTTATGGGAATTATATACTGTATATATTGCCACTAAAAAGTGCAGATTATTGGTGAATTTTATAAAATGAAAAAATACGAGCTAGACGATGATGCTGACTTTAACTATGGGAGTGCCATCAAAGATTAAAGTATTAAGGGCATGGAAAGACAAAACAATGGGGGGAGGTGGACTTTTTACTCTTTTCCTTTGCAATTGAAAGACTTTCACTTTGGATTACAATATTACAATGGCAACCACTACAAAATCAGCAAACGTAGAGAGTAGAGACTCACTAGAGCAATTTATAGAGAGGAATTATACCACATTTACTTCAGAAAATATTTTGAAGAATTGAGCAGTAAATTAGCTGAACCATTTGATACTAAATTAATAAAATGTATTTGTGTTCTTTGTTACCAATTGAAGTTACATTCTGCATGTATGTAAGAAAATGAGATGGATATGAAAAAAGTTATTAACAAATTATAGATATTTATTCAATTTATAAGGCACTTCAATAGTCCAAGTAACACTAGGCAAACAATAAAACATAATAAAACAAACAGAAGACAGTAATAAACAGAAACCCTGTTTCACTTTACTATTAGAGAAGGAAATACCAATAAATAAATCTTGGTATCAGGGAATGATAAGTCTTGTAGTATAAAAAAATACAAACATATGCAGTTTAGTCTCACAGCTTTTAGTGGTGATTTTTCAGTTTCTTTTTTGTAAGTCTATGAATCCTTCCTGTTGTAGCTTTGATAGGTTATAACTATTAGTTCAAAATTAATTTTGTAAATTTAAACTGCATAGAACAATTTTTTAAATATTCTGTGAATTTGTTTCTTATCAGTGGCTAGTCTTGTGCCTTTATAGAAAAGATAAACATGTCATACATAATGCATGTTTTCCCCCTTCTTCAAGAAGTAAGTAAGTAAGTAAGTAAGTAAGGTTTTTTTTTTCTTTCTGAGATAAAACATTACCTGGGACATCTCTAAGTTGCCCCATACTAGGACTGGCCATCAGAATACCAAGTATCATTCACAGCCACATTCTTATTGATATTTAAAAATGGATAGTTCCTGCAACCATCTAATATTGTAAAGTGATCTTTTGGTTCCAGGTATTTGCTATAGCTCTGAAGGCACTCCACTCTATCTCTTTGGTGCTCTTTCCCTCCATCGTCCCCACCATTCACCCCAATGAATTATTTGAGGACACTGTTACTCAAGTATTCTTAGCAGCATTTGTGCTCCAACTTAAGTTTCAGATGATCTGTGGCAACACTTCTACAGATATAAGAGTAAAACATTGCTGTAAAAATAAATAATTGAGGGATGATTGTTTAGTCAGGTGGTTGTTAATTGAACGAAAAGTTGTTGAACCCAGACTTAACCCTCCTTACCTGAAGTCGAGTTAGGTCGGACCAATAACCCGGGAGGTCCAACACATATAATAGTTATAACTAAAACCTACACCGGTGTGGAAGGATGAACCCTGACTTCTGTTAAAATTACATAAGATAAAAATTCATAAAAATCGTAGTCAGAATCTACTAATTCTGATTTCAAAGCAACTAAAGAGAAATCTTTTAAATAAATAAAAATTCAGTCTTTAGGTCACAATGAAGGCTTTTCAAATAATTTTAAAATAAAAAAGCATAATATGCATTGGCCGTTATTAACAATTAGACCAGATGGAAATAGAATGGGGAAAAGGAGGAAGAGACAGCACTCTGCAGCAGAGAGTTCATCCAAGCCATTGAAGCAGCAGAAAATGGAAGATTATGCTACAGACAGATAGTCTGTTCCAGTAAGTAATTCATCTGCAGTCGCCTTATCAGATAAATTTAATTTATATGACTCATTGGAATGGGATTTACAAACCGAACTTGAAAGCAAACAGCATGTAGAACTGTCCTTGGAAAATGGTTCCCCTCCTTGGAACTCTGCAGCAGCCTTCTCTACACAGGAGGGAGATGTAATAAATTTAAAGGGGGGAAATGTGATAGATTTCCTCTTTAGTCAATGTTTGCTTACAATTTAAACTGTAAACTCAATCTATGAACTCTTATCAACTGTCATAAATAAGGTTGACTGCCTGAAAGAATCTTTTGCAAAGTTTATTAGGAGCCACCCAAATACTGCAGAAGGACGTGGGAGGACAACCATGGATAGACACGGGATGGCTAATGTAGAAAATAAAACTAGAGAAGGGCCTTGTCTTCCTTCCAAAAATCTGAACACTCATAGAGAAAACACTCAACCAGGTAAAGGCCTAAGAGATGACCAATATAACTACAGCCTGCAGACTAACCAGGTTACCTTACAAATTTATGACAACAGAGTGAATAGAGAGTGTTGGAGTAATAGAGAAGCTGTTAGGCTGTCCCTGAGCCAGCTGCTTCGCTGTGAATTCACTCTGATAGATCTACTACATGCAGAGTGGCTGCCAGCAAGAAGGCAATGTATGAGAATTCTATTGTTCAAGCAGCCCACAATACCCTCCATGCTCTTTAGAATGAAGCCCTTTCTGAGCACTTTTTCAATATTTGCAATAAGGGTCTTTCACTCAGACAAAGTGTGCCCACTCCTGAAACAGCGTCACCAAGAGGGAACTGTTGCTTTAAATCCAGGCTGCAACAGTCCTTACACTGCTAAGCCAGAGGCTGCTGCAACTGAATTGACCCTGAGAAGGCAAAGGAGCGATATACAAACTGTGTTACCCACAGCTGCAGGAAATGTTGAGGATGTGCCAGAAGAAATGCTGATTGACTTATTCAGTGCATTGCCGGAACCTGAGCAAGTTAATATCATTCAAAGATTTGATGACCTAAAAGAGGTACTGACAACAACTCAATCTACAGCAAAGCCTCTATTTAATTTGGCTCCACTAATCGTGCAACCTTGTGACAATATATTTAATCAACAATCTGCCTTTACCTCAATAGTAAAAAAAGGTACTGTCATACAGGCGGATAGTGGGATAACTGCACTGACTGACCCTGTCTCTGAGAAACAACTGAAAGACAAAGGGCTTCATCACATAGTGCCCCCTAAGCCGACAAACACCAAGGACATAATCCAGCTTCCATCCTCATTTGATTTAGAAGTTCCCACATCTTTTCACAAGATGAATCCTCAGCTATGCCCCTCCAAAAGTGGACATAAATCTCCATTTATAGATTTAAGCCGGAGTACCTGCCCATTTGAAAAAAAATCATTCTTGGAGCAAGGGCAAACTACACTGGCAATCGAGATATAGAGGAGCAACAAGTTCTGCAACCCACAAGGAGAAATATAGAACCTCACAACAACTGTGTTTATATGGGAAGCATAGATGATATCGACTCGGCTCCAATGTCAAGTTGACATCTGGCATTTTTACCATCTAGCAAACCAACCAAGCCAGACAACCTTGCCTCCGAGAACCCCATACAGATGATGACCTGGAATGTAGCTGGCTGAAAAGGGATGGTTGATAGTGGACTAATGAGCTTTCTCCCTAGATTTGATGTAATAGCCATTTTAGAAACCTTGTTAACCAAAGTGGACAAACCAGTACAACTGCCAGGTTTTCAGGGATGGGCCACCCCAGCCCAAAAAACAAGGGAGACCCTCTGGTGGGCTATGCATTCTTATAAAGCAAGAGTTGCAATGGCAGGGGGAGAAACTACCGTATATAATGAAGATAAGTATTTGTACTTCCTAGCTGTCAAATTTGAATATGAAAAGTTCGAGTTAATACTGGTAAATGTATATATCCCTCCAATTACATCCCGGCATTATAACTCTGAATATTGAATGGGCTTGGAAGTTATTCTAGAAGATACATCTTTATTGTACCCTCAGCCCATAGTGGTATTACTAGGAGATTTGAACGCTAGGCTGGTTCCCTCTTTGTATGAGCTCGCTCAGAAGAAGGGAGTCCCATGGGAATTCTTTGATAACCATCCTCAGTGGCTCTCAAGAGACTGAAAAAGTAATGCTGTTGGCCTGCTCCTAGTCTCCTTAATTTTTAAGGGTAATCTCCAAATTCTGGGAGGTAAGGATAAGAATTACACATATCCTTATACATACCACTCGGCCAATTCAAGCAGTGTACTGGATCTCTTTTGTGTGTCTAGAGATAAAGTTGACCTCTTTTTGGAGGTCACAGTATACCTTAGCGACAGTAGCGACCATCAGCCTGTAAGCGTGACACTGCGAGCCCGCTCAGATTTAAGACCATATAACATGGCTGACAGATGGCTCACCAGAAAGGTAGACGTGACCCAAAATAAAAGGTTAACTTGGGCCAAAATTGATACTAAGGCAATATTAGAATGCCTTAAAACAGAGAATGCTACTAAGTGGGCTAGAACAATCCAGTCATCTACTACTGACTGGATGTCAGCCTTCAATGCATTCTCCAATATCTGTAATATTCTGAAGAAACACCTAACAGCTAAACCTGCTACAAAAAGAGCCCGAGTGGATAGATCCTGCTGGTTTGATCCCGAATGCCAGCGATTGAAAAAGAAATTGAAGGTAGCCATGAGGCTCGCTCAGAGGAATCCTACTGCTCATATACAAGCTAAGATGTTGCACACAAGAAGGGAATATAAAAAAACTATAACATTAAAGAAAAAAAGTTTTGCCATTTCAATCTGGTCAGAACTCAAGTTGGCTGCCAGAAGTCATAACTCAGTAATATTTTGGCACTCGGTAGCAGGTGTCCTAAAGGAACGGAGATTTGCGTTTGACATATCAATCTCTGCTGAGGACTGGGAGAATTATTATCAGTGTTTGTTTGCTTCCACAGAACCAGTAGAGAAACTGTCTTTAAGCAGTGATTTAGTAAACCCTAGAACCCTCCCCCCTTTGGCCACCAGTCTTAGGAAAGGAGATACAATCCATCATTAAAAGCTTAAAGAGCAATAAAGCCGCAGGTGAGGATTTTTTACCAGCTGAATTATTCAAGAAATTTCCCAGTTGGTGGGGTCCTGTATTGGCAGGTCTACACACATAACACCTGCCATATACCAGATGGGTGGAAGATGGCAATAGTTGTCCCCATATATAAAAAAGGGAATAAAAAGGACCCTAGTAATTATAGGCCCAATAGCCTGATTGATATTGCAGCAAAAATATATGCTAGGTACCTTTTGAACAGAATTGAAATCTGGGTAGAGGAAAACAATATCCTCTCACAAGAACAAGCAGGTTTTAGACAAAGCCGATCTACTATTGATAACTGCTTTGTCTTGAACCATCCAATTGCCAAATATGCCTATAAGAGGAGACCCCCGTTTGCTGCTTTCATAGACCTTACAGCAGCATTTGATAAGGTAAACAGAGAAGTACTATGGAGTAAATTGACATCTCTTAAAATAGAACCTAGATTCCGGGCTTTGATTAAAGCCCTTTACACAAGTACCTGTTGAGGATGTGGTATGGGGTTAATGGGGCTCTGACTAACAGGATTCACACAAATAAAGGGATAAAGCAAGGGTGTATCCTGGCCCCATTATTATTTAGTTTATATATCAATGACTAACCATGGTTAATGAAGGACCCCATGGTACACATGACGATGATCCTAAATACTTACTGTAACAGCTTGCTTTATGCTGATGATGATTTTATTATATTCACAAGTAGGATTACGTAGGCCAGGGGTGTCAAACTCAATTTCATTGAGGGCCGCATCAGCATTGCAGTTGCCCTTGGGGGGCTGGGTGGGTGCGGCCTACTGGGTAGGCGTGGCCAGCTCTACATCATTCACGTCAAGGGTGCCTGGGCAGGAGTGGGACAGATCTGAGGGCCTCTGGCAGAAAGGGGTGGGACCAGGGCAGAGCCCATTAAGCCGGATATGTGAAGTAGGCGAGGGCCATTTGCTGGCCACTTCCAGGCGATGGTGCATTTCTTCGTTCCTCATAAAGGGTGACACCTCCCCAGCATGCACTCAGGAGGTGGGCCGACACGGCAGGGGCTGGTTCCTCGCTGTTTCCAGACGGCCTTGTGGAGCTAAGACTGAGTGCATTTCAGCATAGATGGCCACCACAAAATTGTACATTGGCTCCCAGCTGGCCTGGGCCAGGCCAAGGCAGCGGGGGCCGTTCCCTCAGTTTCCAGGATGGCTTTGCGGGCCACATGAAACCACTTCGCGGGCCGTATCCGGCCCCCGGGCCTTGTGTTTGACATGTTTGACGTAGGCTATTAAGAAGATTCAGCTCTTATTGTCAGGATAACTCCCTAATCATTAGTAAATCCAAATAAAAAATAATGGTGTTTGGAAGACACCATCAGAGACATAAGTGGCAATTAGATGGTGAACCAATTGAACAGGTTAACACTTTTGTATATTTGGGCGTAACTTTTCCCAAGACTGGATCTTGGGCTTGCCATCATCAACGAAGTACATTTAGAGCAAAAGCCTGTTTGAATCTACTGCTTAAACTAAAGAACCACAGTTACCCAGGGTCCCTAGCCCCATTAATTAAGCTTTATAAAGCTAAGGTTACCACTATGCTCTTGTATGGAGCAGAAGTTTGGGGTCTTTACTCAACCACAGCCCTAGAACAAACACAGTCCCAGCATTTGAGATGTATTTTGGGTGTAGATCCAAAAACATCCGCTGCAGCAGTTAGAGCTGAATTGGGAATTCATACAATTTATGCACTATCCAAAATTAGAGCATATAACTACTGGTGCAAAGTCAATGAAATGGAGACTGATAGACTCCCCAAGTTATGTCTACTAGAGCAAATAAAATTACAATCACAAATCTCCTGGATCACCAAACTAACGAATTTTGTAAGAAGCTGTGGCCTTCCTGTCTCTTGCATAATAGGAGAACAACTCAAAAAAAGAGCTGCCCAAAGAACTAAGGATATAGAAGCACAAAATGATATATCTATTCTTAGTAAGGTGGGTAAGTTGAAATGGCTGAGTAAATACAAACATACTTTTCAAGTAGATAGCTATTTGAAGTTACAATTGCCAAAACATCTTAGGGAGATATTTACGCGAGCGAGATTCGAACAGCTTGACACAATGGTCAGATATGGGAGATTTCATTCTATACCCTACAATGAGCGTCTCTGCATTTGCGGAGTGGCAAAGGTAGAAGACGTGGCTCACATCCTATTTGATTGTTGTCTGTATAAGAGGGTGAGAGACAGGTACCTTGGTCTATATATCAAACGAATGACCCATTGGGATCCCCATATCAAAACAACTTACCTTATGTGTGGCCACAACCTGAAAATAACATTTAACGCAGCACAGTACTTAAACAAAATGGTTTGGTTGAGATCTGCATATGTGGGACGGATTGGGGTAGATTGCAAGGGTGACTCTAAAATATAATTTTATCATACTTTATCTATATTTTAAATTATTGTACTCTATTTTAATTTCATTTTAGACTGTATTTTATTCTAATTCCATTTTAAATTGTATTTTATCAAATTCCATTTTAAATTACTTTTATCAAATTTTAGTAATAATTTGTTGCTGGAACTTTGCACTTTGATATGGCCCAAGGGCTAATCAATAAAGACTTATGTAATAACAACTTCAAGGAAACCTCAAAACCTGAGAACAGCTGTCTGCATTTGTTATAATGAAATAGAAATAACACTTCAACTGAATTTCATTTTTGATTACTTATCAGAAAGTAGCCCTAGAGACCTAGAACTTTAAAAATATCATCAATGTCATATTTCTGATCAATGGCTTCTTTCTGTATACGGGTAGGGTGATTTCCCAACACTGCAGGGACAGAAATGCCATCATGGATACTTTCCTCAAAAGTCTTTGTACCACTGGAGTCCAAAGTCCGAAATAGAAAACACTGATTGAGGAAAGGAGATACAGTTCCCCTGAAGACAGGACCCCCTCTATGTACAGAAGTAGTCTGTGAAACACAGCTCTGCTTCCGTGACAGTCTACTATTTCGTCGGGGACTTCCTCTAAGAAGTTGCATGGGTCTCTCTCTGCAACTTTGGAGTGTAAGATATTTACAGATAGTGGCTTTAACACATTTAAGCTTCCGCTGCAATCTGAAAGAGAAAAAAGATTAGCAATTAAAGCAGCAAAGAGCAAGGTTTGGTGTAACAGTCTGTAAAACCAAATGTTATTTATTTTGCTTATTCCAGTTTTTTCACATGACAAAATTCTAGTGAGCTTGGAAGAGTTTTACCCACTAATCAAAATCTGAAACAGGTTACAGAAGAAGCTTAATGCTATGAATGCAGATGCAGGCTCCCCACACTATTCATACAGTTTAATTTTATTAATATGCACTGAAAAAGAAGTTTCATCATTTCTGTATTATAAATATGGAAATCAAATACTTTTAGCATCCGTCTGGGGACTGGAGAATCTATAGTTCTCTAAACAGAGGTTTTCAAACTTTCCATTTCTCTGAATTATGATATGGAAAGTCATGGATCCAAAAACACCTGGTGAAACGTGTCTGAGACAAGCAGGCTGGTGGGTGAGAGCTATAGGCAGACACTGCTGGTAGGCATCAGATTATGCCCAGGTGGATGGGGGCTATGGAGCATGGGAGGGCAGATGCTGCAGGCAGTATAGGAAGTATAGGCAAGTGGGTGATTGGGCAAGCACTGTATCAGTATGGATATAAGACCCCCATACTGCTGAGGGGCTCCCCTGAACAAAAGGCAGCAGGAGCAAGTTGCAACCTCTGCCAGATTTGACTTTGCTTGTAGGGGAGGTTGCAAATGTCAATACGTGACCCACAGTCCTTGTAATTGAGAGCTAGTTGCCATATGCAGATCTTGTAATTGAGAGCAAGTTGCTATATGCCTGAATCTTGATCATGTGACCATGGGGATGCTACGATAGCCACAACAGGACTGGTGCTAAGTCCCCCTCATTAGGTACCACTGTAACTTTGAACAATTGCTGAATGAGTGGTTACTAAACAAGGACCACTTATATTTCAGGATTACACAGAGCCTATTTAGAAGGTATGGAAAGACCAGGACTAACAATCTACACACCTGCAACCTTGGGCTTCTACATGCTGCAGCCTCTTGCTTTTTAAAAGCTTCATTCCTAAGAAGAAAGCCCCTGATCTAAATTTACTGTTTTTACACCAGATAATTGTTGCTTTCAGTGTTTGAGATAGTTCTTCAAAGGACTGTACTTCTTTAAACTTGGACACAAAAGAGTGAAGATGCCGAGATCTCAGGACTTTAGAAGAAATAGATGCGATTTTCTTTGACTCAGGAAGCATATTACTGAATTTAGAATTCTGAAATAAAGTAGTAAAAAATTAACATTGTAAAACACTAATTAAAAAGCTAAGACTTAGAATAAACTTTAACATATAGCATCTTTGGCTAAAAAGTACATAAAAATTGAAAAATTAAATAGATGATAGTTTTAACCACTTTAAACGGTTTAGAGTTTGTATGAAGACAAATGTTAACCATGAACAAATGTCTCATTGGGGTCTTCAAAATTTGCGTTTTGAATGGCCTCCTAAAATGCATATCAAAGTAGTTTCCAGAATAACTGTGAAATGTTATTTCTTCTTCGTATTAAAAAAAAAAAATCAGCACTATTTCTCGTGACCAAGAAAATTCTACAGAAGATCTGATTAACTTATGAAATTGTCTAGGACCAAATTAAACAATTGATTAGTGCTGCTTATTTTAATTAGGAGTAGATTCCTTCAAAGTTTTCACACGTTCTAAAGACACCAAACAAGAATGAGACAGCAATTAAAATGAAGCTTTCCACATGAAAGTTTTTTTCTGACCATCAAGCTATAATCAACTATCCCAAAATATTCTTCAGATGCTATAAATCCACATTCAATGGAATAAATTTCCATTACACAAACTTAATTAAATCACTAAAACCTATTTACAAAAGAGATAGATAGATGAATGTTTTTATTCACATACATAAGAAATTACAAAGCACAAATAGTAGTTACGACATTTAAAGAAAAACAATAGAGACTGTGCCAGGTGGATGATTATGGGCCAGATATTTTTTCTATAGGGTTGTTATGGATAAAAAAGGAGACAGGCGCATTAATTATGTACATTGCCTTTAGCTGATCCAAAATAAATGTGGGGTAAAATTGTTTTTCCTTCCATTCAGTCATGTCCGATTCTTGGAGACAGTCTGAACAAGTCTCCACAGTTTTCTTGNCAAATCAGTCCACCAACAATTAACTTGCTTTTCAACAACTTGGGTCTGAATTGGGAGGAATGGACTTCAGCTCAATCCAGCCTGGTTATTGGGCCCTCCAGGTTGTGTATATTATCAATATTGATTTTGGATGTGGCCACACCTTCCTACTTGGGACTGAAGACAATTTTAATGTATTCTATTTTTAAGTATTTTTAGCAAGTCAGAATCTACTAATTCTGATTTCAAAGCAACTAAAGAGAAATCTTTTAAATAAATAAAAATTCAGTCTTTAGGTCACAATGAAGGCTTTTCAAATAATTTTAAAATAAAAAAGCATAATATACATTGGCCGTTATTAACAATTAGACCAGATGGAAATAGAATGGGGAAAAGGAGGAAGAGACAGCACTCTGCAGCAGAGAGTTCATCCAAGCCATTGAAGCAGCAGAAAATGGAAGATTATACTACAGACAGACAGTCTGTTCCAGTAAGTAATTCATCTGCAATCGCCTTATCAGATAAATTTAATTTATATGACTCATTGGAATGGGATTTACAAACCGAACTTGAAAGCAAACAGCATGTAGAACTGTCCTTGGAGAATGGTTCCCCTTGGAACTCTGCAGCAGCCTTCTCTACACAGGAGGGAGATGTAATAAATTTAAAGGGGGGAAATGTGATAGATTTCCTCTTTAGTCAATGTTTGCTTACAATTCAAACTGTAAACTCAATCTATGAACTCTTAACTGTCATAAATAAGGTTGACTGCCTGAAAGAATCTTGCAAAGTTTATTAGGAGCCACCCAAATACTGCAGAAGGACGTGGGAGGACAACCATGGATAGACACGGGATGGCTAATATAGAAAATGAAACTAGAGAAGGGCCTTGTCTTCCTTCCAAAAATCTGAACACTCATAGAGAAAACACTCAACCAGGTAAAGGCCTAAGAGATGACCAATATAACTACAGCTTGCAGTCTAACCAGGTTACCTTACAAATTTATGACAAGAGAGTGAATAGAGGGTGTTGGAGTAATAGAGAAGCTGATAGGCTGTCCCTGAGCCAGCTGCTTCGCTGTGAATTCACTCTGATAGATCTACTACATGCAGAGTGGCTGCCAGCAAGAAGGCAATGTATGAGAATTCTATCGTTCAAGCAGCCCCCAATACCCTCCATGCTCTTTAGAATGAAGCCCTTTCTGAGCATTTTTTCAATATTTCCAATAAGGGTCTTTCGCTCAGACAAAGTGTGCCCACTCCTGAAACAGCGTCACCAAGAGGGAACTGTTGCTTTAAATCCAGGCTGCAACAGCCCTTACGCTGCTAAGCCAGAGGCTGCTGCAACTGAATTGACCCTGAGAAGGCAAAGGAGCGATATACAAACTGTGTTACCCACAGCTGCAGGAACTGTTGAGGATGTGCCAGAAGAAATGCTGATTGACCTATTCAGTGCATTGCCGGAACCTGAGCAAGTTAATATCATTCAAAGATTGGATGACCTAAAAGAGGCACTGACAACAACTCAATCTACAGCAAAGCCTCTACTTAATTTGGCTCCACTAATCGTACAACCTTGTGACAATATATTTAATCAACAATCTGCCTTTACCTCAATAGTAAAAAAAGGTAGTGTGACATAGGTGGACAGTGGGATAATTGCACTGACTGACCCTGTCTCTGAGAAACAACTGAAAGACAAAGGGCTTCATCACACAGTGCCCCTAAGCCAACAAACACCAAGGACATAATCCAGCTTCCATCCCCTCATTTGATTTAGAAGTTCCCACAACATCTTTTCACAAGATGAATCCTCAGCTATGCCCCTCCAAAAATGGACATAAATCTCCATTTATAGATTTAAGCCGGAGTACCTGCCCATTTGAAAAAAATTCATTCTTGGAGCAAGGGCAAAGGTACACTGGCAATCAAGATATAGAGGAGCAGCAACAAGTTCTGCAACCCACGAGGAGAGATATTGAACCTCACAACAACTGTGTTTATATGGGAAGCATAGATGATATCGACCCGGCTTCAATATCAAGTTGACATCTGGCATTTTTACCATCTAGCAAACCAACCAAGCCAGACAACCTTGCCTCCGAGAATCCCATACAGATGATGATCTGGAACGTAGCTGGCTGGAAAGGGATGGTTGATAGTGGACTAATGAGCTTTCTCCCTAGATTTGATGTAATAGCCTTTCAAGAAACCTTGTTAACCGAAGTGGACGAACCAGTACAACTGCCAGGTTTTCAGGGATGGGCCACCCCAGCCCAAAAAACAAAGGGAGACCCTCTGGTGGGCTATGCATTCTTATAAAGCAAGAGTTGCAATGGCAGGGGGAGAAACTATATAATGAAGATAAGTATTTGTACTTCCTAGCTGTCAAATTTGAATATGAAAAGTTCAAGTTAATACTGGTAAATGTATATATCCCTCCAATTACATCCCGGCATTATAACTCTGAATATTGGATGGGCTTGGAAGTTATTCTAGAAGATATATCTTTATTGTACCCTCAGTCCATAGTGGTATTACTAGGAGATTTGAACGCTAGGCTGGTTCCCTCTTTGTATGAGCTTGCTCAGAAGAAGGGAGTCCCATGGGAATTCTTTGATAACCATCCTCAGTGGCTCTCAAAGAGACTGAAAAAGTAATGCTGCTGGCCTGCTCCTAGTCTCCTTAATTTTTAAGGGTAATCTCCAAATTCTGGGAGGTAAGGATAAGAATTACACATATCCTTCTACATACCACTCGGCCAATTCAAGCAGTGTACTGGATCTCTTTTGTGTGTCTAGAGATAAAGTTGACCTCTTTTGGGAGGTCACAGTACACCTTAGCGACAATAGCGACCATCAGCCTGTAAGCGTGACACTGCGAGCCCGTTCAGATTTAAGACCATATAACACGGCTGACAGATGGCTCACCAGAAAGGTAGAGGTGACCCAAAATAAAAGGTTAACTTGGGCCAAAGTTGATACTAAGGCAATATTAGAATGCCTTAAAACAGAGAATGCTACTAAGTGGGCTAGAACAATCCAGTCATCTACTACTGACTGGATGTCAGCCTTCAATGCATTCTCCAATATCTGTAATATTCTGAAGAAACACCTAACAGCTAAACCTGCTATAAAAAGAGCCCGAGTGGATAGACCCTGCTGGTTTGATCCTGAATGCCAACGATTGAAAAAGAAATTGAAGGTAGCCATGAGGCTCGCCCAGAGGAATCCTACTGCTCATATACAAGCTGAGATATTGCACACAAGAAGGGAATATAAAAAAAACTATAACATTAAAGAAAAAAAGTTTTGCCATTTCAATCTGGTCAGAACTCGAGTTGGCTGCCAGAAGTCATAACTCAGTAATATTTTGGCACTCAGTAGCAGGTGTCCTGAAGGAACGGAGATTTGCGTTTGACATATCAACCTCTGCTGAGGACTGGGAGAATTATTATCAGTGTTTGTTTGCTTCCACAGAACCAGTAGAGAAACTGTCTTTAAGCAGTGATTTAGTAAACCCTAGAACCCTCCCCCCTTTGGCCACCAGTCTTAGAAAAGGAATACAATCCATCATTAAAAGCTTAAAGAGCAATAAAGCCCCAGGTGAGGATTTTTTACCAGCTGAATTATTCAAGAAATTTCCCAATTGGTGGGGTCCTGTATTGGCAGGTCTTTTTACACACATAAATAACACCTGCCATATACCAGATGGGTGGAAGATGGCAATAGTTGTCCCCATATATAAAAAAGGAAATAAAAAGGACCCTAGTAATTATAGGCCCATTAGCCTGATTGATATTGCAGCAAAAATATGTGCTAGGTACCTTTTGAACAGAATTGAAATCTGGGTAGAGGAAAACAATATCCTCTCACAAGAACAAGCAGGTTTTAGATACACCCTGAATTGGAGTGTGCGTGATGGCGGACCTACTGTTTTCGGCTCCGTAGTCTCCGCGGGGTCCTCAGTGGAGATGGGGGAGCCTTGAAAGGTCCGGGGGTGCTCGCCGGCCGGAGTTTGGAAGGAGAGGGTCGGCGAGCGAAGAAGACGTGTCGGACCGCGGGACCACCTGGGCGGAGCCGTGAGCGGAGAGCGGAGCAGCCGAGCGGAGAGGCCTGGCGGAGAAGTCGGAGAGGCCGGGCGAGTAGAGCGGAGCCGGGCGGCCGGGGAAGTCGGCGGCCGGTCGTCTCGGGGCCTGGCGGCCGGGAAAATCGGCGGCCGGTCGACTCGGGGCTTAGCGGCCGGGAGGGTCGGCGGCCGGCCGACGCGGGGCCTGGCGACCAGGAGTATCGGCGGCCGGAGGACTTGGGGCCTGGCGGCTGGGAAAATCGCCGACCGGACG